TCAGCGATCACTGAACAAGCTCAGTGTATGATCGCTGGAACTGAAATTACAGATACAGAAATACATCGAAAGGAAAAAGGGATTATCATCAAATTACTGAGAGAGAGGATCAACAGATATGATATCAAAGACGTGATGCAAATATATGAAGATATGGATGATTTAAAAGACATGAAGATTAAAAAAGGTTGTGCAGATATTACAAGAAAGAAAGAATATTCAAAGTTATGGAAGAGAAAGTTTGTATCTAAATCTTTTTAACCTAAATTTGAAAAGCCATAAGATTTAAAGATTGTAGATGTGATGAAAAAAGATTAATGTTGATGTTGGTGATGAATTGACGAATTTGTGCTGATTTGTTGAGACTTATTGTAGACTTATCAAGGAAGATTGAAACAGAGTTGTTCAAAAAAAATGTTAATAAAGTTGGATTCTTTCATGATATAAAGGTGACTAGCTTAGTACACGTAGTGTCAAAGCTTCAAGACTAAATGTCCAAAGCTTATTTGGTGTTTCAAGATGTTTTCTTGAAGATTTGTTGACTGTTGACTATTCAAAAGAGAATTCTGAAGACTGAAGATGATTTCAAATTGATGATTGATTTGAAGATAGTTTGTTGAAAAGTGGAGATTGTTATTTTAAGATTCATCTTATTCAAAGGTTGATAAAGCTTGATCGTCTTCATAAAGGAGAGTTTATTAATGACTTCTGATTTGGGGGAGATTGTTAAATTCAAAGTTTAGTTGAAGTCATGTTTTGAAGAGTTTTGATAACTACTAATTTGTGATCTCGAATCCAAAGAGGGAGATGGTTAGGCCTAAAATATGTTGTATATGAGATCATCGAGTATGAAGACGAGAGTGAAGAATGAAGAGGTCAAAGCTTCCAAGTCAAAGTCAAAGTTGTCAATAATTCATGTAAAGTAAACGTTTGAAATTGTAGTTTGACTTTGTATTAGTCATTTCATATAAATACTTTGTAATGTTGGTAGTAGTAGAGAGAGCTCGTTATATAAGATTTACATATTCATATTTGTAGAGAGTTTTTAGAAAGAGAAACTTGTCTTAGAGAGAGAAATAATCAATACATATGATTTTAATTCTTGTTCTTGATTGTTTACATTATCGTTACCTGATCATAGTGGGATTTTCAACAGGGGATTATTCGATGGGTGGACTTGGTAAATGAGACTCATTTACTACCAGACTACTATCAAAAGAGTGTTTGTCTTAGAATTGTCACATCGTCTTTCCATGTCACTTAGGAAATGCAAGAATACCTTAGGCATGCAAGAATAAACCTTCAAGAAATGTCCACAACAGTTTGTAGACATTGGTGCTCATTTACAGAAATCAAGATCTCAAGCAACACAAAGATATATTCAAGCGGAACATAGCAAGTTTATCATTTTGATTCACTCTATTATCCATTGCAAGCGTAGTAACAGAACAAGCAAGCTAGATTAGTAGAATGAGATAGTAAAGATTCGTACACATTTAGTATAATGAAGAAACCAAAAAGGAAATGAAGAATGGAAACAATTGGAAATAATTTTCATTAGTAGTTTCAAGCCGAGAAGATTGAATATACCAACTATACACTCAGAATAGAAACGTATGAAAACCATATTTTCTAAGCAAAAACATCCATATTACCCACATAATGAATATAAACTTTTTGATGTGCTTAATTGAACCTTTAACTTGGATGTCGAATCGGTCCAATAACGAATAATTAGGGTTTATGCGCAGGGTTAGAGTTAACAGGGTTGGCATGTAATTACAGGAAGTAGCATCCAAGTTGAAGGTTTGATTAAGCACATCGAAAGGTTTCTAATAATTTTATGGTAATACGGATGTTTCTGTTTAGAAAAGAAGATTTTCATACATTTTTATTATGATTGTGTACTTAGTGTATTCGATCTTTTCAATTAAAAACTACTAATCAAAATGATTTCCATTTTTTTTTTCCAATTTTCATTTCTTCTTTGGTTTCTTCATTACACCAACTAATAATGCTTTTGATGAAGTTTGAGTCAGGTGGTAGAAGGAGGAAAGGCATTGTAGCGTGGAACCACTTTTAGAAGATAAAAGTGAATGGTGATGATAAGGCAGATTGCAACCGTTGCAAGAAAAGGTTAGGAAGGAATGCTAAAAAAAATGGTACAAGGAATTTATACATGATAAGTTTAAGTCTTGTGCAAGGTGACTAATTCGAGATACACACCAACATATCTTAGTAGGGGAGCAAAAGAAGGTCGATGGTAGTTCATCATATGTCTATAAGTACATGTTTAGTGTGGATAATTA